ACAGCAGACTGACTGTTCATAAAATATACGACAGGTCTGGACCACTCGTAAATTTTGTTCGTATCTGAAAAAAATCGTAGAATACGAAAACTTTGGTGAATGCCACAAATTCTCCTAAATCACTCGTACGCACAACTTAAGAACAAATCTGTGCGTACGAACGGTTCTTGCATGAGGCCCAATGTTTCTTTTTTAAGAGTTCAGGAGGATATTCTGTATTATATTTGGTATAAATCGAAATGTGCTGACAAGACAGTAAATTACAAAAGTATTAAAAATGTGTTACTTTATATATGGTTATTTTTTTAACAAAGCAATCATTTCAAATGAGGTAGGTCTCCAAATCACTCAGTATACCTAGTGCTACTACAAAGCAATTTAGCAAACTCTTTGTTTGGTTAGTAGGCTAAGCCAGACACAAAACTGCCTTGCAGCAGTATGTTTTCAGAAGCTCGTTTTTCACCTGTCACCTTGGAGTGGGCCAAAGGATTACCCCCCAAACAAGTCACACTGTCCAGAGCTATCTGTCCCACATCGAACACCGAGGTAAAGCAAAGCCTGTCTCTGGAGAACAACAGCTCATAACTCACAGGTACTGGTGTCCTTGTCAATAAAATCACACATGAAGAAGATTGGCCCTAAATGAATGTGCCCATGAGAGGAATATGTTGTCGGCTGAGGCTCGGTGCTGCAGCATTCTACCTCAGGAATGCCTCTGTTGTTCTTCACCCATCCCCCCCTTCAGCCTCTGCACTGCTATTGTGAGAGAAAAGAAAGCTTTTTTTTTTTTCAAAATGTCTCTCCTTTCACAAAAAGAGATGTCAGAWGTTCCCTCATTTATCATTAAAGGTTAGATATTTTCTCTGGTCAAGGAAGATGTTTGGTTCTATTAAAAGCAGACTGTACTGCATTCTATTAATTGAGTTAAATAATATAATGTAATTTAAAGTGATTTGGGATTTTAACAGAAGGAGGCACAAAGATATTCAATTAAGTACAAAAGTGTTTATTTTCTTGCCATCTTCGGATTCTTTCTCAAGGACTTCTTAATGACTGGTTTAAGGGGCTTGTGAAATGTTGTAGTCTAAGAAAGAGTGTAGTTTACTCTCCAGGGTGGGACAAAACTCACAGCAAGAATTCATGAAATAATGACCACAAAGTCCTTATTAGATGAACAGTGAATGTCACTCATGAAGGTTTATCCCCCAGCCTTGGATTCTTTCTTCATTGCTTCTAAACTTCATAAAATGTTCAGTCTGTTTTGTTAATAACAGGATGTTTTAGTGATGATTTCATTAGTTTTGTGGACATTTCACTTAGTTCAGTTGTTTTTTTGGTAATAATATGTCACATGTCAAGGTGTGGCAGTATCTCATGCAGACAAATGGGTGGTCCTTCTCAGGTGCTTGCACATCATTGGTTGGTGAAGTTTGCTAAAACATTAACACCTGAATGAGGAAGAGAAAGAARCCAGAGAGGAGCCTCAGAGCAGCTTGTTCACTGTTCCCTTCAAGACTGGTTTTGAGCTTTATTGTTTGTCATCGCAAAGGATCTCAAGAGGCAAATAAGGTGAGTCGAGCATTTAATGCAAGGTAGGATGGTCATGTTTCAAAGACAAGTTTATTTAAAGCTGCAGTTATATTCCAAAATTGAATTTCATCATTATTTAAGTAAGTTTAGAAAATTCTAAATGGATTTCTGGACTTTTCAGATTGTGAGAAAAGTGAGCAAGACTTGACTAAAAACCTAACTGACTAAAAAACTTCAGGTGATGAAAGTACCCAGAATCTTATGTGATGTTTTTTCTACCAAGAGTATGACTCTGCAAATACGTTCACAGTGGGCTCAGAGTGCAGGGTTTACATCACTGATGACTAAACAGGCACTTGGTTGAGGCCTGTGATGGCTTGCCAAAGACCAGGATTTCGACGGCAGCCTGAGAGCCCCGAGCCACGGACGAAGCAGGACAGGCCCAGTCTCGCTCGGATTCAAACTTCAAGAAAAAGTGAGAGGTCGATATATAAATCCACCTGTTCTCACTTGCCACTTCCTCAACCTCAAAGGCGTCCTCATAAATCAAGGAGTCCCAACTGTGCACATGCACCAGGTTACGGAGTTGGCCTCTATCCTGAGGTTTAACATGGGAAACGAAGCTTATGTCTTCACATAACTGAGCACTTGCTGTTTCTGCTGAACAAAACAAACAAAAACAAGGATTGTCCTTTATTACGTTGGAGGAACTGTGATAAATTGTATGATGGAATGAAAATCTGATAATGAAGGAGAATGATCAGATAAAATATATTTGCTCTTTTTTATTTTCAGATGCTGCAGGAATAATCCATGTGTTCTGTCCTTCATTCCACCGGAGTCTGTATCTGTTTTTAACCAGATTTCAGTGGTGTGAAGTATAAAAGACTTGGGGATGTAACTTCACAGGCCGGCCAGAACGCCAGAAGGCTATCAAGGCATAACAAGAATTTCAGATTGCTTCCAATTTATGCTCTGTTTGTCAGAAACCATTCTCAAACAAAGCAACTGTACTATTTTTCTAGTGTTTGTGTCCATTATGTGTGGGTGTGTGTGTGTTACATTTTGTATGTGAGGCTTAAAGTGTTAAGTAAAAATTGCAATGGAACATGAATAAATCTGACCTCGTGCCCTTTATTTCTCTCTTTCTAAAAGTGCAACATCTCAAATTATTACAGAGCCATTATACCACCCACACACTTTCTGTGTTCCTCAACCTAAGAGCATGATGTTTTTTCCCTCCATTTGCCCACATAGAGAATTTAAGACTCAGCCCACACAAACAACATTTACTTCTTGGCAGATGAAGCTTATTAACAATTTAAAACATGCCCTCACTATAGCTCTCACAATAATGCCATTAACCATTTTATTCTCCCTTCCACAGATATGTTTTTTTAAAAATCACCAACTGTGCATATGGAAAAGTGAAGTCTTTGCTGTTTTACTTTGCAATACCTCAGCTTCAAAACCGCTTCCACATTTACATAATACATGTTTCTATCTATAGGCCAAGTTTTATTCTTCAGTAAACTGTATGAAGCATATAACTGCAGGGTTTAACCAGAACAGATCAGAACAGAGATTTGAAGTTCAATAGAATTTTAAAAATGGAGCTTCTACATGGTTGTGAGCATGCCTCCTCTCTGCTGCAGGTCTGTTTGCTTTCTGACAATCAGTTCCCATCAGAGACTTTTTAACATGCAAGCATAATAGTGCAACAGTCTAACATATGTTTGGCCTGTGGTTATGTTTGTGAGCAGACTCAGGAATTGAAATTCAACTACTTAGGATTACCTCAAATAACCCACCACACAGTCAAAGGCATGCCAAATCTGGTGCATTGATGAAAAGTTGTAACAAGCCCCAACCCCAAAATCTGCATTGCTAAAAAGTTATTTTTTTATTTATTTTTTTTTTACTGAGTTGCTATTTCAGACACTACACTGCCTTTTTTTTCTGTTTAGGGCTGTTTTGCCAACATAAAGGGACATACTCTGCATTAAGTGGGTGGTGATTTAGTTTTAGCTGATTAGTTTTCACACAAAGTGTTCTAGTTTATCTGCAACAAGTGTTTGACACATATTAAATACCTGTCAAAAATGATTTTCAGATCTAGGATATATTATTTAAATATTGGATTCCCATCATTACCTTCAATAAAGTTTTATATTTGTCCCCAAGCCAATGAAATTGCAGCTAAAGTTAGCTATTTACAGATTATTTACCTTTAGATTGGTTAATAAGTACTGACTGTCACTCAGGGAAAATTTTGATAATTTCAAATCATTAATTTGATTAATTATATGAGCTGTAATGCAAAAACATCATACTAAAATGGATTAAAAACTTTGAAGGAATTTATATCACCTTCCCCTTCCTTGACAGAATTATAAACTTTATAATGAGTAATAAGGGAGTTGCAGCTGTTTCGACCAAACCTTGAAAATATGTGTGATCTCAGATAAGATGAGCATTATTGCCCTAAAGAAACTTGTCTTCACTGTCACATTTGTTGTATGGCTTTGTGCAGGAACTCGGAGGCTCCGACCTGAAGAGAGGAACTGATGTTATAAATGTGTCAAACTYAAGGCCCGCGCGGGGGGYGGGGGGTACCCCCAAAAAAATTAAGAAAATTTAATTTAACTTAACATACAAATTGTTTCTTATATAAATGATAAAAACTTTAAATTTATGATTAAATGCAACTAAAATTTAAAAGGTGAAAGACAATAACAATTGTCCTGCCCCCTGAGCTGTTGGCTTTAAGCAACGGAGCAATTTAGTTGGATAGCACAGTATTAATGTCTCAAAAGAAGCTGCTTTAAAGTCAGCATCAACCATAAAATAAATCTGCCATAATTCATACTAGATACTCACTACAAACTCATCAGGAAGTAAAACTTTATTCGTTTGAAAATGTTAAATATTTTAAATATATATATACATATATATATATATATACA